ATATATATAAAAGAATAAATAAATAATAAATGAAATTCGACTCAGATGTTCTGCAGTTTTAAAGAAGACAATTACTTTGACCAAAAATAAAATCCAACTAATGTCCGGCATTGCTAAGACACCTTAAATGTTTAATAACAAAATAATACTCTTCCCATTGTATCATGTAAAAAGGTGGATTGTTGTTTAGAAATCTTAGAAATTTGTAATTGTCAACTTTAATAAAGTCTTTTTATTTCAATTTTTTTAGAGAAGAAGGCAATATTTGGAGTTATGTCGGCTTGTTATGCGCAATACACCGTATCATGAACATCATCACAGAAGAGATGAACTACTTAAATGCTTTACAAGGATATTTTGTGAAGAAACAGATGCGAGTCGCCATGACCAGCAATTAGTGCGGGAAATCTCCAATGAATTTCCTCAATACTTCAAGGCGTAGTCGTTTACTGTTTGCAATTGTTTTTTAAATATATTTTAATCATATCTTTTATATGTAATTTTTCCTACTTGTGTCGATTTTGCTAGAAAAATGGTTTACTTGAATATGTGAAATAATCTTAGTTGCCCGCAAAGTATACACGTGTGACTTCGCAGTAGTTTTGATTTATCTTGAGATCCTGTCTGTCTGTCTGTTACACTGCGGTCTGAAAAGAATCCTCACTTCGTTATATTAAGTGAATTGCCATGTTTCATTTAAATGAGTTAGTTTTCCTAGATTGTTAAGATTTTTATAACACTATATCATTTAAAAGTAGGTATTTTATTTTATTAGTGTTCCAGATGTTACTTCTCTGGAAAATTTTCTGCATATAAAAATATAAATTAGAAAAAGTCAATACAAAAGGAAAATTTTGTTGACAATTTTGGTTTAAATGTATCAATTTCTAAATTATTAGAAACAAGCACCTGTACCTGTAACATTGTTAAACCAGTAGTTGGCATAACAGTGCTCTCTTGAGCCTCATGTTAACGCAAAGTCCTTCTCTTGTAAGTCTGGAGTGAAAACATTTCACAGTGAGTTTGAAGTTGACAAGCTTTAAATTTGTTGTTGTTGTTGAAAGCTTTGTGTATTATGTCACATCTGTCTCTTTTCAACTTGTAATCTAAAAATTCCCATTTGAGTTTACCACAATTGTTGTTTTAAAAGTTGCCTGTCTTATTACGGAGCGAAAGGAGTCTTGGAACAATTTTTGACCGTAGTGAATTTCAGATGATTTAGGGCAATTATTCTCCTAATTTCTTGTATATTTAGGAAGATTGTTCATTGCTTTTATTCAAATGTGCTATATATTTTGTTTATTTGTATGTATTTCATTGTTGCTATTTATTATTCTAAGTAATGAGTTTTAGAATATTTTATTATTGTACAAGTTATACAATGTATTCAAGAGCTGCCAAATGCGTATATTTTATTGTATAGTATTCAGATCTCCAGTGTTTTATTTAAAGTAGAAGACTTAAATACAAATAATTTGCTAGAACTAAATCATTACTCTTTAAGATAATAATGTGAAATCTTTTGTTGATGTTTATTTTATATATTTTCCAAGGAAGAATTTGCTAGTCACCTTTATCCAATGATATGTTTTAGTTTCTAGTCTTCAAGAAGCAAGCTTGTATTTGAAGAATACCAATATATTCTTGTGATTCTTTGTGACATATTGTGTTATGAAGGTAATATTAATAACTATCCTCAGGTTTGTTTCCCAGATATTTGCCATAAACGGCAATTAAGCCTAGTATCATGTTGATAGTGTGTAATGCATGTATTTCAAATGAGGTTTCCTTCCTGTGATATGGATCTTAGTAAATCTTTAAAAGTAATATTAAAAAATTTGGTACACTTAGTGTGTATGTATCAATCATTATTTACTAACATTGGTATATTTGTTAAAATTAAATGGTCTATATAATGTTATTATATATTCTGAACAGCATTAATAAGTAAATTTGACATCTTTCACAATCCGTATAAATGTGCATCAAAACATTGTTCATATTCAGACCTTTCATCATTGAAAAAACACTTCAGTATAGCAAATGAGGTTCTGTAATGTTATATAAATAATTATAGACTGTTTCTGAAAAGCATATTGCAATGAGGATAAACAGTGACATTTGAGGCGTAGTTATTACTTTTAATGTTCAATGGCCATTGAGATTTCATAACTTCTGTATATTGTGTATGTATACAGTATTGTTGTTGATTACATACAAAGTGAGAAATGATTTTTCTTGCCTACAAAATAAGCTTGTTTCCAAATGGTTCTACACAAATAGAGAGATATAGAGAAACCATGTTGCAATTATTAAAATTGTATTTTATCAATTTTGTGGATTTGTACCTACTACAATGTAAATTATTTGTCACCCTTTTTGTGAAACCTTCATCATTCATTAATCCTTATATTTGTATTTAGTTTCATTTATTTTTTGTGTTTTCGGCTTTAAACCAAAGAACTCTGGATGCTGTGATTCACTGTGATTTTTAACTTTTGAAATTTCATTTCAAGATGGGTAAGTACAAACAACTATTGAAAGTGGAAAGATCAACCTTTCTATGTATTTCTACTAGTGCAATGATTGCAATAGTATCATTTTGTAATATATGTTGAATATGAAGTATGCAGGTTGCAATACTCTATGAGTAACATTGTTTTCTCTAGTGTATATAAATAAGTAAAGTTCTTTCTTGTTTAATTTTACTAGAAAGGTCAAAACTTTCACTGCTCTAATAAAAAAAATTAGTTCCATGGACTTGTTTAACAATAATATATCAATATTAATTTCATTTTCTTTTTTATTTGTTAAACAACCTTTTTTTTGGAGGGGGGGATAAGATGGATAAAGTAAATGGCTTTATTACTGTTAATTATTGGAAATTCTTCACTGTTGATGCTATCAATTGAAATAGTTATTAGAAAATTCAAGGCATGATGAATTCACTGATGAATATGTAGTAAACAAGAATAATTTTATATGTATTAAAATGTTGAGAACAGATTCAACAGACTATTAAATTCACAAAGGTGACCCTTTGATGCTTGAATTTCATAAATTTGTTTTTGAACCTTTTGAATTTGCTAATTTGCAATACTTATCTTCATTTGTAATTACATAATTAAAATCAGATTTGATAAATCAAGATCATAATTGAAATTTACATTTGAATTAACTAATTTGCAATACTTTGGCGAGTGCTGTATTTATTTTAGCAAGATTGTGAGGGGAAATCGTAGTGTTTTTATTATTACTTGTAATATTTTTCTATGCCAAGAAAAGTGATAATATCTGCAATAATAATGCATAGTTTAGCTATTAGTCGTCTTGTGTTTTATCCTTTTGAATGACAGTCTCATGCCACATACAAGTTGTGAAGTAAATGGAATCCAATGGATGAAGTGGCCTTATCTCACTGAGATCTTGTGATGATTCAACTCTGAATCACTATCTAAGAACATTATGAATTAGTATGAGAAAATGAGTAGAAGTACTTTTCTTTCCAACATCTAATGTGTAAAATTAAATTGATATTTTATCAATATCCTGTCCAAACACTCTTAGCCAGTCATTAAGAATCAGAATGAGGCTATTTTGATGGGGATTGTTGTACTGTCTCTTCATATAATGAATGATATTGAAACAAATTTTTGAGGAAATGTACTTCTTTGTCTACCTTTGAGGGAATATTGTATGCACTAATTCGGCTGTCTTTTCATTAAGAATGTGATATTTGCAAAATGGCTCTGGTACTGTGGTATGGTTGAATCAATCTTCTAGGAAATTTTGATCAACTCTTCAAAAATTAGATGAAGTGAAATTGCTAATACTATTTATATCAGTTGGAGTATTTTTAAAGAGATGTATAGTTTTACTTAGTCTGAGCTGCAATATCTTCTGCTGTTTTTATTTTAATATTGCAATTTTTAGCATTTTCTACTTTGAAACTTTAACTAAGAAAAAGTTAATTATTGTAGGTTAAAAAAAATATATTATGTGTACTAAAATTTACTTTCAAACCAGGAGTTATTGTTATATCTATAGTCATGTAATTCAAATTTTTGAATATTAATTTTTATGATTCTTGTAAAACGTAAGATATCTAATGTAGTGTTGCAGTTTGAAGAAATGCATGGCAGGTATATTTCAGCTCATAATTTTTTTAATTTTATTATTTTAAAATGTATGAATATGTATGGAGAGTCTAAATTTTGAATACCTGTTTATTAAAAATGATATTGAAAGTAGAACGTTGCATGGAATATGAAACAAGATTACATTTTTAATATTACTTTTTTATTTATATATTAATTTCCCCATCATTGAAATAACAGATTCTGATCCAATTGACCAAGATCCAACTAGGTACCCTGAATGGAAATGTAATGTAGTATGATGCAATTTTCTAATAAGTGAAGAAATTGGTCCAAATATTAATCTCTGATAAGGTTAAAAATGTCCACTTATTATTTTGACATTAATGTACAGATAAAGCTCTCTCAGTAATCTTAAATGATGTTCAAATGCAATGCATTGGGTCTGTGATAGTCATAGTTTGGTAATGAAAAAAAATCTTTCCTTTTTATTACAACTTCTGTGAACTAAGGTTTATCAGAAAGTAGGTTATATATAATAGTTAAATAATACTATGATAAAAGAAGTAACTACAATATTTATGCCAATAGTCTCATCAAAGAATGGAAGAAACCAGTAAAACAAGACCTTCAACTTCACAAAAAACAAACTATACAAACAGGGCTATTTACATATCAAATAATTTTCAGAAATCAGAAGATGAACTCCATGCATTAACTGAACAGAATAGTGAAGACCTACGACATGAAAATCTCAACAAAGAAAACGAAAACGATGACCTTCCAAGGAAAGGAACTAAGAATAGTGAAGATAGTCATTGAAGGAGAAATATTATTGCAAGTTTCAACATTTAAATAATTAGGCAATGACATCAGACAAAACTAATACCCGCAACTCTTTTCAACAAATTTAGAAATAAACCGTATTTTCCCGAATATAAGAAGAGGTCTTTTTCCCGAAATATCTCAGTCGAAAAATGCGAGGTCGTCATATATTCTCAGATTATGCCTAGTCGGTTAGGATTGGCGTTTTTACATTGCCATTCCATGTTTCGAAACAAGAAAATGTTGTAACAAACTGAGAAGACTAAAAATATCGCGCGTAACCATACGCAGTTATATTCACGTTCGTATTCTCGGCATCCACCGCGAATTTGTGGCCCAATTCAGACCGATATTTTTGAATGGGCGGGTAACTAGAATCTCTAACCGAATGTCATTGTATCAAGTGTAATGTAACGTGAAAATGAATGCCGAGTTTGTTAAACAATGCTGGTTCCACGAGGTCGCGCGGAATCTTGGTTAGTCGCAGTTCGTGAAACCGAATCTTCATTTTGAACAAAAACTGAAGCCATAACAGGTGCGGGACGTATAAAAAATCTGGCGACAGAAGTGAAAGTTCTTAGATGGCGTCTGATGGGAGACAGAGCAACGCAAAATTTAACCCGCAAAACTTTCAAGGGGGGCCTAAATAGTTTGAAAACGCCACAGCATGGAGGAAGGACCCCGCCCCCCTCCCAAAAAAAAAGAATCATTGGCACATGTGAATGCGGGGGTAGTGACACAAACCATAATTATGATTAAAATAAGGAACCAAAAAAGAATAGTTCAGCAATGTCTTAATTTTTCAGCAATTCTCTAATCAATAAGACATTTTATAATTTTATTTTGACTACATAGTAAGAATTTGTTAAAATTTTTTAAAAAAATTCAAGAGGCTTGTTCAAAATTAGGGGGTCGTCTTGTATTCGGGTAAATACGGTATTATAAAAAAATAGAATAATTGAGACGTTTTGGGATGAACATGACAGAGAAAACCAAATCAACAATACACAATATGACAGGCAAGTCAATACTATTATATGGATCGCAAACCTGGGATCCTAAAGCAAAGTGCTGCTTTCATCGGTAGTTTTCCTTGGTTTCTGCAATCAACACCAGATGAACGCCGGAGCAGTTCTCTAGCAAACGGGACACGGACCGCGCGCGATCTTTATTACCTCTTCTTATGTACTACTTATATTGTAATTTCTCTGTGGGTACTGCAGTGAATGTGTTAAATTCTGCAGTTCTTGTGATAAGTTTCCTTCTTAGACAAATTTAAATCTAAATGGAATGTTGAAGTGACTACACTATTAAATGGTAATACATCTTTTTAAAATGGACCAAATAAAATATTTTAGTTCAGTATATCATGTTCTAGGTTCACAAATATGGTAGAGAGTACTCTACTCTTGATAAGGTTGCGTAGGCTTCCGCGGCCGGAGTTTATGTTGGCTGGGCTATCCGGGACGAGCCGGGTCAATGTCATGGTGGCTAACGTTTCGGCCAGCGTACGCTCTGAAGAAGGCCACAATACGCTGGCCGAAACGTTAGCCACCATGACATTGACGCGGCTCGTCCCGGATAGACCAGCCAACACTCTACTCTTTGGTTGAGTACACTTTACCAGATTTGATTTATTCATAATTGTTTAATAAATCACAATACCGTCGAAGAACTGAAATTACTTATAGTTGTCCATGCTGAAATCTACATCTGTTGAGAAAATTGTGCAATTTAGGGCTCGTAGTTATATATCTAAATCTGTTAATCTTTTTCAATGTTTTATTGACCAAATGTCAAAAATATTTCTTCCCTTTTTTCCCCTCCAAGAAGTGGTAGGGCATATTTGGACCAGTTCTTCTAATGTATTTATTCCTAGAAATCAGTTTTTTCAACTGAATTTCAGTTTTTAATTAGTTATCAATCTATCATTTAGAATGTAATTATACAGAAAAATATTCTTCTTCGATCAGTAATATGAATTTGAAGGAATAAGTATGTTGTTGCATTTTCTGAAATAAATGTAACAGTGTATTTTAAAAATTTAGACCCCCATTATAAAAGTCATTCCACATTACATTGTTATGAAGAAACATAGGTGAACAGAGCCTAAAACAAAAGGAGGGTGCTAAGAGTCCCTTTTTTCATCAATGATATTATACTAATAATTAAAACATAATATTTGGAGAATGAAATTGTAACTTTAATAATACCATTAATAATTATTTTTGACTTTGATGAACCCCCAAATTGTCAGGTTAGGAAAGGGGGAAATCAGGGATTGATCTTGTTTAAGGAATTAAAACAGTTTACTACGAAAGGCTTCATAATTTTTTTCAGGGATGCCACAGCCACCTGGTCTCCCCTCTGCTCACACCTACATGAAGAAACTTATATTATTGTTTATTTTTTTTTCTTATTTTTTGTTGTGATACTTTCAATGAATTGAAATGCAATTATTACTGTTGCTATGAATTCTGCATATTCTTTAATATTTTTGAAGGGTGTTTCTTGCATTAAATTCATGATTTAAATTTTTTACTCTGATACTGTCAATAAAATGTTTATAGTATACCTGATGAAATCCTGTTATGTCAACTAATTTATTAAGGAGGGGAAAAAGTATATTCTGCTGTGTATTAATTAATTTGAAATTTCATTGTTGAGTGGAAATTACCCATCTGGTTTGTTTGTAAATGATCTTAGAGAAATGTTAAATGCAATCGCAAGGTACATATATTTAAAATATATTAAGACATTAAATGAAAATTGATTCCTCTTTCTACATTTTCTATTGAAAATGTATTTTCTTTTGAAAATGTATGGTTATTAGAGTTGTTTTTAATTTGCCAAACAGTGTATTGCTTAATGTTTTATGTGTTAAGGGTTATCAGATTTTTTCTGAACATTATACAGAAATTATTGTAAAATGGAAAATGAAATTATCTGTGATTGCAGGTCTTGTTTCATTATGTAAATATATATTAAAATCGATGAGGTAATTTTATCAATTACAAATTAAACATTGTACTGAATGTTTGTACATTTATTTATGAACTTTATCTTATAGAAAGTCTCAATATTTGATGGAATCACACTGATAAATATTAATCATGTAGCAATTCATACTTGTTCTCCCCTTGGCTGTGTGAAATAAGATTCTCAAGGATTCATGCACATCTTCTTAAGGTTCATTATTGTCAATTTGAAATGCATTTTGGACGAGACACTCTTGCAATAATTTCATTATGTGAAAAATGTATTTACCATAATACTCTTAAAAGACTGCTTTGTTGCAGAATTTGCATGTGTACATTCATTATCAGATTTTTATTTAATGTTGTTTTTTTAATAGCTAAAATAAAGTATTATGTTAAAATGATATGTTGAGATATTTCTATACATGTATTATTTTTGTGCTTTTTCAATAGAGCATTGAACAAACTAAAAGTGATTCTCCACAGCTCAATTTGTAATGGTGATGCTAGTCATTCCCTATATCTTTTAAAATTAAGATGACTTATTTTTATGAGGGGATGAAGGATAACTATAGTTGTTACTTTCACAAAATCTTAGTACCAGGTAGCTGCTTTTGGGAAAACCAGGAAAACTTAAATGAGTTGCTTTGTCCAGAAAAGGTTACAAAATGTGTACAAGATTAATGAAAAGATGGAAATTTATAAGTAAGTGAGAAACTGTTCTAATATTGTGTGTGTATGATTTCCCCCAAATTGTTTACAGACCGACAGGTCCATCTTTAAACCACTTACAATAGTTGTGCTTAACTTGTATCCCATTATTGATATCTCTGATGGCCCCTTGAAGTTGAAACTGATATTTTAATTTTTAGTAGAACACTATATACAGCCTTGATATTGTTGAAATTTTCTCAAAAATTGAGCAAAATGTTTTAGATAATTTATTTCCTAAAATAAAGAAATGTACTCTTATAAAAGTCATGCAGGTAATTTTCATTGAAATCTTGGAAATTTTAAAAGTTGCAAAATAAAATAAAAAATTAGTCCCCTTCCTTCTAATACATTCTTGAAAATAAAGCATCTTTCTAAAGGAAAAGCTTTCTTCAAAATTAGATTTTTAATTAATGTCATGTATAAAATATGGCTTTTTTCAGAGAAATAGTATCATTAAAAAAATGCAAACATTAATTTCTCTAAAATGCCTACCAATATATTTTCTTAATAGTTCTAGACCAAATGTAACCATGTTGACTTCATAAGATGGCAGAGATATAATTTTCATTAAAAACTGAAATCTCAGAAATTGCTAAGTTAATTTATTTATTTTTACCTGTTCTCCTCTATTGGATAGAGCATTTTAAATACTGCAATCTAATTTTAAATAGATATCTAAATTATTTCATATTCACATCTTCAAAAAATAGTAGTTTTTACAATTTTGGGTTTTTTGGAACCTGCCCTATAGCATTAATTTTCAATTCTTTCAAGTTGCAATATATTTTCCCATATTATATATTTAAGTAACTTCGGATGTTTCTGAGTAATCTTGAATTATATCATCTGTATTTTGCAAGTGATCACTGAAATGTTGGAGTCAAGAAGTTGCCGTATAATAATATTGTGAAACTGTTACCCCTAATACAAGAAAATATATGCTTTTGTATCACCTTCAATTCTTTTAACAATGAAATCAAAGAGCTGACAAATTGGTAATATAAGTCAAGCCTTGCTGTAGGGAAAAAGTCACTGAAAAATGGGAAAAGAATGGCCAACATCCACTATATTTTTCCTATTCATTAATAAATTTTACTTTGGGGAAATTTAACACATTCTTTTAAATTTCTATTTAGCTTATAATTAATTTGTCCATTATTCTCAGCATTTACTGAATGAGAATCACAACTTGATACTTGTAATTTCACTTTATTTTATCAAAAATTACAAATTGCTTACATGTGAAATCAAAAACTCATCAGACCAATTTCTTGTGAATTCCTCCCCCCCCCCCTCTTTTCTTAGAAGGTTCTTGTCTTTTTCGCATTGAAACGAACCAGCAGATATATCATCCTGTCATCATCTCCATAAATTCTGAAAAAGAGTGTACGATTTTACCTCTGCATTAGGATATGTAATTATTAGAAAAGAATTCTTCTGAAAACTTACCATCATAGTCTACTGTTCCTGAACCATCAGAATCAATTTCTTCTATCATCATATCAAGTTCTTCATCTGTCAATTGGTCATCAAGCTCATGTAAAATTTCACGCAAACAAGCAGTGGGTATATAACCATTACCTGCGGAAATTAATATGTATACATAATTTAGTATACGCAATGAATTATGAATTTTCTGTATTGATGAAAAAAGAGAATTAGTATCCAGTTGGACAGGAACAGCAGCATTAGGTTGTAATGGTTAAATAACATCGGGGTTTAATGTGTTCTCTTATGACTTGATTTATGAAGAATGGTTACTGAACAGTGATGAATTTGTCAGAATTAGGTTCAAGATGAAAATAAAAAAAGTGCTACAAACCACTAAAGTTCTTAGAAAAAAAATTGGAGGATGTTCATATTCCATACTTTGTGCGTTACATTTTCAACTGTTCAGATGACAATTTTAATGATGTGATGGTCAAATCTTAAACCTAGTTCCTTGCCATACAGTATATTGGATCTTATGAAGTGTAAGAATGAATAGTTTTCTAACCTTCCTTATCATACAGTCTAAATGCTTCACGAAGTTCTTTCTCCATTGCTTCTGCATCTTCTTCAATAATAAATTTGGCAGCAAGGGTTACAAATTCTTCAAACTCTAGTCTTCCAGATTCTGAAATAAAGATTAGATACTGAAATATATTTTAGATGAGATTTAGAAACCTAATTTTGCAAAAACAATCTAAATTGTTCATTTAATAGTGAAACACTACAGTAAAAATATAGCTCTTACCAATATGTATACAGGCAAATTACCTATTACCAAGTTTTTTTATTACTCTTCCAATATCTGAAAACCGAATACAATGTAGGAAAATAGATATTTTGTGTAACAAGTTCTCTAAATCAGTCTTTAAGGACGAGGCTGGAAGGTTAACTGCCAGGTAGAGCAATAAGCAAAGCTGAGTAGTTAACCTTCTGGTCGAGTCGTTAAAGTCTAATAGAGAACGTGTTACATACAATTTGTGTGTGTGTGGTGTGTTTTTATTTTATTATCCCCCCCCCCTTCATTTTCATGAGATAAGAATTGTACCTATTAACTCTTGATGTTCTGTAGCAAGGCAAGCAACCGTTTTTAAATGCCAATTGCAGTGTGAGGAACAAACCTGGAAAGGAAGACGCGAAGGGCAAGGGACATATATTTATATAAAGATTAATGAGCACTAGTAAAATCTAAACCTAAGAGTCTCCTAAAATATTTTTAATGGACTCGAGCGTTGTACGAAAGTTGCCTTTTATGTTTCGGGATTTGGCATCCCTGGTGTTGCAATCTGGCAACTGACAGCTCTATTGTAAAGTTGGATGTTTTGAGGTTATACGTTCTCAGAACCTTTTGACATACGAGCGCTATTTGTGTTGTTTACAGTAACTTAAAAGATTCATCTTGCCCCCAAAATGGAATTAAATCGTGAATATTTTCGTACGATTATTTTTTACAACTTTCGACGTGGATTAACTCAGCAACTGTGCATGGATGAACTTAATTCAATTTTTGGCGATGAAGCTCCATCAAGGACCAGTGTTTATTGATGGTATGGTGAATTCAATCGTGGTCTTAGTTCACTCCAAGACGAATTTCGCGAAGGTCGTCCAAATTCAGTTGTTCCGAAAACCATTGATGCTGTGCGTGAACTGATATTGCAAATCGTCATGTGACCTATCGTGAGATTGAGACAACCTTAGGCATTAGTGGGATGAGCATACATTCAATATTGTATGAACATTTGACTGTCAATAAAATTTGTTGGCGTTGGAGCCCACACAATTCGTCAATCGCGCACAAAGCACTCCCAAATAGATGGTCGCTGATGGTTTTCGAAAAAACTGGACATTTCGCAACCGTACCACTAGAACAACGCAGAACAGTCAATTCTGAGTGGTACAGAACCATTTTTTGCCAGCTGTCTTCCCAGAAATCAGGAAAACCAACCGCTGAAGACGGATCACTCTTCACCACGACAGTGCGAGCTCTCACACACCAGCTCAAACAACTGCATTTCTATGCACCCAAAACATCTATTTGATGGGCCATCCGCCTTATAGTCATGACTTGGCACCGAATGACTTCTTTTTATTCCCGTACGTAAAACACAAACTGCGACGTCAACGTTTTTCGACACCTGAAGAAGCGGTTGCTGCATTCAGAATGCGTTTTCGAGATACCTCAATCAGAGTGGCAAAAGCGCTTCGACAATTGGTTCAAACGCATGCAAAAGTGTATAGAATTTCATGTAGAATATTTTGAAAAACAAAGTGATTTTCGATGATTAATATTTGTTTTTGTTCTCTAATCCTGAAATATAAAAGGCAACCCTCGTAATGGCTGTTCCTATGGATGCGCTCTTAATATACTGTTTAGATGGTTAGGTGCTAAGGAGCTATGCGCATGTTTGCAGGCGTAAATAACAACAAAAACAACAACAATGTACTCAAATTAAATCTGGTAATTTTGATTGTTTTACACTGGTTCAGTGGTGTCGGAAGAAGATAAAGTCAAAAGCCCTGATGAGAAGGGAGTGTGCTCGAGACAGCAACTTGAAAGAAAGAAAGGAATATAGACTTATTTTTCAGGTTTATTAAAAATTCCATGAAAACAGTAAACCCTAGAAAAATGCTCGATGAAGACTGAAAGAACAAAATATTCGATTGAGAAGATTAACTTTTTTGCATACCGGTATTCTCTAATAAGTTTTCAGATATTTCATGTCATATTTCCAAGTTTTGTAATATGAACCTTTTTATACAGTATCGTACGCTTTCACGACCGGAGTCAATAGAAGATAAATTTTCCGGGCTGGTAGGCCGTGGTCCATTTGGCATTGAAGGGCCCAACGTTTCGTCCACGTCTGTGGTGGACATCCTCAGTGGCGGCAGGGACGCGAGCGCAGAGTTTGAGGCGGCTGCTGGCTGGCTTGCGACTGGCGCCCAGAGAGTATTTTACTTTGGCAGGCGCCGTACTCCGCGCAGCTGTGGCTTGTACAGCCGCGGCAGGGGGGGCGCAGCAGAGGGGATTTCGCGCGCTAGCTTGCGATTGGATGATGGTTCGCGGGCTGGCACCTGGTTGGCTGTCGATTGCGGTGTGGTTAGATTGGGTTATTCTGTTTTTGTAATGTATTCTAATAGTGTTACGCAGTGCGGAATACCAGGTAGAGTTAATTTTAAGACCTTCTTTCCTAGTGAAATTATTGAGGTGCTTGAATATCTCAATAGCTTCTCGTTACAATCTAATGTGGTAGTGGTTGGTGGTGGATAGTACTTCAGTGTATGCGAACAGGATGTCGTGTTCTCTTCCCCAGACGGCATGTTCACCCACCGCTGATTTCTCTGTGTATCCCAAGCGGCAATTTTGTTTGTGTTCGGTGAGGCGAGTGTTGAATTGAACGCTGTGTGGTACACAAAGCCTCAGGATCATTATATCCTGTAGACACCAGCCGTCATTAGTGTGTCCCTACGGTCTTTAACCGACCTAAAGAGCTTGCGGAGCTGAGTGGTGGGGGTGAAAATGGTTTTGATGTTGTGGTGTTTCAAAATTTTGCCAATACGGTCCGTAATGTTCTTGATAAACGACTGTGACCTTGTGAATGTTTCCTTCGGGAGGACTGCGTGCTGTGTTGTTAGGACGTAGTGCTCTTTTCTCCTCTGGGATTGAGTATCCATTGGCTTGAAGAGCATTTTCCAAATGGCTGAGTTATATAGTAAATTACAGGTATAAAAGTGGCATAAGTTCGATTTCACTGTCAACTCTGAAATTTCAATAATTTCAAAAGTTTAACGTCTTTCGGGCAATTGAAGATAGATTTTCCTTCAAAATAAATTTTTTATCCATAATTGGTTATTTCAAGCTCACGTACGTTAAAAAAAATAAATCAGTAGTTTTCGCGTAATATTGCATGCAATATGTGCAATTAAAAAAAATAACATAAACAATATTTTCTCAAATATGGCTCCAAATTTTTCTGTGAACTTTTGGTAGGGATAGTGTACTCTATGAGATGACATCAATGCCATATTGCTCTATTCTTTTGTTGTTTTTCAAAAAATTACAAAAATGTAAATCACATTCTTTCTATTTGCATTGGCGGCTATTTGTTCATATTATTGCTGTACGAATAAATGTGCTTTAAATGCTGTCATGTAAGATTTCTCGAAAACTCAAAAGTTTTCTGTGAAAACGAGCTTAACATTCCTAATTTTCAGAAACGCTCAAATGCCATTTTCTCAAAAATAGCTCCAAATTGTTTCATCAAACTTTTCGTACGCTAAAACGCTTTTTTCTTAAAAACGGTGCCAAATTTTTCAAAGGAAAATGCTATTTAATACGACAATTTACTATTCTTTAATATTCTTAAAACAATATTTCTGTTCTACTATTAGGAAACCGAAAACTTAAGAAAATTTCAATAAAATGTACTTTAAGCGGCGATAGATGGCAGCTGCCAAGTCCGAATACTTAGCCGAGACAAAAGGAAATAGAAAACTAATATGGGGAAGTTGTGCCATTCTGTAGCACCACTACTTACGTTTTCGTATACATACGTACTTACGGAGAAATATATTCGTACGTAGTATAGAGAAAGTTATGTAATGCTGCGCGAAAAAACGCAGATTTTTGGCGGAAAACATCATTGCCGGAGCCAGATAACAGTAATATGGATAAATACTACTGCTAAATGAAGAATAAAAGTCCTGTAGCGTGTGGTGTAGCCAGAAACCCTAGTTTGTGGGTCCTTGATACCGAAAAAACAATTGATGGCAAAAGTCAGTCTGACCGTCTGTGAACACCAATAGCTCCTAAACCATACGTAGGATTTTCGAAACTGAAGAATCCCTTACCTATCTGAATCCAGTTGCTTTGAGATTTTGAAAAACATTCTTTAAAATTTGGGGGTACTTTACATGAAGCTCCCCGGGAATTTTAAAAATTTCTTACAGACAGCTCCAAATTTTTTCTTTAAATTTCTTCTAAGAATGAAGTAAAATAAAGGTGGCCTGGGTCCTATTTCACGCTTAACTCTGAATTTTCGAAAATTACAAGTGCCTACATCAAAATTTAACATAAAGATTTTTCTGTCAAATAAAATTTGTTGCACATAAGACGCTCTTTTAAGAAGGTAATGTACTTTTTTTTATTTTAGTAGTTTTCGAGCAATATTGCGTATTATATTTGCAATTTTAAAAAATTACAAAAACATTATTTTCTCGTCAACGGCTCCAATTTTTTCATTAACCTTTTGGTAATGATAGAGCTATATAAGATCCCATTACCACCATATTGCTCTATCCTTTTCTTCAAAAATTACAAAAATGTAGACTTTTTAACTTGCCTGTCACGTCGTTAATATTTACATTACCGGCCATTTGTTCACATTAGTGTATTTATGAGCACGTGTGCATTAAACGTCAGATAGTTTCATGAAAACTCAACCGTTTGAGCTTCCAAATTCCGCACTTTCCAAAACGCCATTTTCTCAACACAATTGCCTTTGTGATTGAAAGTGCTTGAAATCACTTAATACGAAGTTTTTCGAAAACTCAATAGTTTTCTGTGAAAGGAGGTTGAAATTTTGCATTCGCAGTAATGATTAAACACAACTTTCTTAAAAACGGGTTCAAATATTTCAATGAAAATTGCCATTTACGTAGAGGTTTTAATTGTAAGGTAATATTTCGGTTCTACAATAGGATTTCAAAAAATTGATTCCAAAAAAAAGAAAATAAATACTCTGGGTGGCGATAAAAAGCGTCTTGCAAGAGTATGTAGCAAGTCTAAAAAGCTATCCCAGACCAAAGAAGAAGAAAAAACTAATACGAGAAACAATTTGCCATTCTGTAGCACCACTAGTTACTTTCTCGTATACGTACGTATATACAGAATAATGTACGTAGTATAGAGAAAGTTATTTAATGCTGGGGAAAATCGATTTCGAGATATAACGGAAATACACGTTTGGGGTCCCCTGATACCGAAAAAGTGTTTTTTTTTCTCTCAAAAAGTCCGTCTGTCCGTATTTTCGTCTGTCAGCCTGGACCGCCTAAACCATTTAGGATTTTTTCCAACAATACCCCTGTCCATTTGGCATGAGTCAAAGCTCTGCTGTTTTGAAAAACATTAATTAATTTTTGGGGTACGTTACATAGAGCCCTTGGGATATTTTCAAAATTGTCTCAAAAATTGCTCCAAATGTTTTTAATTTTTTTGCAAAAAGATAGTGAAATACAATTATAAAGACGACATAGGTCTGTTTTTCACTGATTACTCTGAATTTTCGAAAATTATAAAAAAAATTAACGTTTTTCGGCAACTTCCTATAACTACAATATTGACGATAGGGTTTTTTCCTTCAAAAAAATTGTTGTTCATAATTGGTTCTTTCATTACAGTTTTGCATATTTTTTTAAATTCATAGTAGTTTTTAAATTCATAGTAGTTTTCGCTCAAGGTTGCGTAAAATTCGAGCAATTTTAAAAAATATCAAAAATAAGACATGTTTGTAAACGGCTCCAAATTTTTTCTTCAAACTTTTGGAAGTGATTGTGATAAATGTACGCAATGAGATGACATGGACGATATTTTGTTCTATTCTTTTGTTGTTGTTTTTTTTAAATTACAAATTTTTTTTGAGTAGCCTTTCACGTCGTAAATATTTTCATTAGCGGTAAGTTCTTCACACTATTGCATTTACGAGTACATGCTATTTAAACGACGCCTTATAATGTTTCTGGAAAACACGAAACTTTTCTTGAAAAACGAGCTCAAATTTCCGCATCTTCAGAAACAATAAAAACTGTATGCGACGTATGGGGGACAAGGTAATCTGCACATGTTTCTTTGAGTTCCAGAATTCCTTCCCATCATTTTAACTATAAATAATTGAAGAATGCGTAAAAGTTAAAGATAAATATATAAAAATAAAATTTAAAAAAGCTCAAGATTAGCTACATTTGAAAAACTACACATTTTCGTTCCCGAGTTGTAGATAACTTATTTGCAGCGGTAAATGAACTGCAAGTTTGATTTTTCTCCATTGCTCTCAAAATAGTAACAGACCCTTACCTCTATTTCTGGCACTACAAGCATAAGGATAATTAAACAAGCGTGCGCATAGTGAAGCTACATTTACGTCCAGAAGCTAAACAGGAGGCCTTCTCAGCATTTGCTCAATGCATCAGGGAAACTGGACAAAAAACTGATCTAGATTAGGGTCATTGACCCGACAACTGAGGTACATTGTTTGATACAAGCATATGAAGTCTTTTTTTAAAAAAATACAATACAAATGTACTAAACTCATTACATATCTCTGTTTTCTTTTCGATTATCAGTATAGTCTCTTATTGTATAAAAACAGTTATGCAGCAGAAAATATTTTACTCTTAACTTGAATTTGTGCACCGACTTCAATTGCTTAATGTTATCTGGCAATGCGTTGTAAAGTAACGTACATGTATTGTATGTGGATTTCTGATAGTGAGCTGTTGATACTGACACTTGATGAACGTGACTTTTACGACGCGTGTTGTAATTATAAATATCAGTATTGCATGAAATTATGTTCCCACTGTTAAGTACGTCATTTTTGACAAATATTACAAATTCGTAAATAAATGGACAAGGCAATGATAAGATTCCAAGCTCAATGAAGAGAGGCTTGCAGGAATAACGCGGATGGCATTATTCGAATAATTTTCTTTTGCAATCTCAAAGTCTGGGTACTACATGATGAGAATATTATGCCGTATCTAAGGCGGGAATGCACATTTGCAAAATACACGCAATGATCTGTATGAAGGCTGTCAGAATTTGAAAGAATCCTGAATGCGTAACATAATGAACTTAATTTAGTGTTAAATTCTGTTATATGCTCATTCCATTTGAAGTTTGTCCGAATTGAGAGACCTAGAAATGTTGTTACCTTAACATCAGCCAAAACGCCAGCCAATCGGCGTAATTAACAATATTAAGAAAAGTTTAAACAATTGCGACATTACATAATGCAGTGTAACAGTATTTCAAGCATTGAACAAATAAATTGCATAATATATCAAAGAGTGTTGGCTAGTGATTAGTGTCGCAATTGCTGCCAGCCCGGCAGGTGCATTTACCTTCTTCCCGGAGCTCAAGGGGCCACTAAAGCATATTTTTTGCCTTACAGAACTTACTTTAAAGGCTCTCTTCTCAAAGATATTTGTTTACTACCACAAATCGACTGGAGTAAAGTTTGAATTACACAAAATGAAGTTGCGAAAATGTTTTTAAATTTGTAATTTGGAATCGCTGGGCCCCAATTTTTATTGCTTCGTTTAAAGTTGAGCAGACCCACAACAAGTTTCTGTGTCCTACTAGTTGATCCAGCAGATACCATTTCAAAGATACCATTTCGGCGATTCTGATCAGATAAGCTGATGGTTTGCAAGTTTTATTAACAAAATTTAACTTGCTTTCGAACGAGCAGATAACTCCAACTTGAAATTAGTGAAGCTGCAACAGCACATACTTTCTTCAATTATTTCAAAATTTTGGAAATGGAGAGAGTTCAACGAAAATGTGACCCTCGCCATTCTTTTAAGCGCCCTTTCTTCTATCCGTGAGAGAGAAAAAAAAGAAAGAAAAAAAAATGGAGCGGTTTCTGAGATGTTTTTAGAAATTGCATAAAATTCCAGCGCAAATTAAGCGAAAGTACTCTATGTTTGACGAATAGAAATATGTTAGTAAATGCATAAGATGCGAGTATATAAAACCTGTCTACTACTGGAAGAATCCACTTCTTGGGTAATTTCTTCCCACATCTCGGTAATAATATCACAGTTGAGATGGTCTTTGTGCACTCCGCTAAATTGGCGGCTCCGAAAACACTTCCTTCATTGACACTTCCATCATCTCACGCTGACTTATTCAGATCGCGGGTAGTTTGAACGAAAAATTAAAACTTCAAATCGCTCCACGCCGCGCCGTTTGGTATGTGCTCATATTCATAAATTTACATGAAATTTGTTTTCGCCGCGTCGCGCCTTGTATGTTTCTACCCTTAGTTGTAACATTGAAGTTATAATTGCATTCTCTGTGCAGTGTGTATTATTTACGTATTAGTAAGGTGTCGTATGTATAATGTACAATGTATAATGGAGACGTGGACCCCTCTCTTGTTTTAGGCTGCTCACGCGTATGATTACAATACTTTCTTATTACTACGTGAGAATGTAGTATGCCAGAAAGTAAAATGTATCGATACATGTATAGAAAAAATGGCAAATATGCCTTAAATAAGAATACTTACTATCAGCATCTACTTCTTCAATCATCTCTTCAAGAATGGTACGATTGAACGGTTGACCCATAAGCCTCAAAATGTCTTCCACCATGTTTGTGGAAATGCTTCCACTTTTTTCGCTATCAAAAGCGTCAAAGGCCTTCTTGAGTACTGGAAAAAGAAAATGTATTATGATTTTATCATTTATAGTCAAATTATCAATATTGTTCTGAAAATGAAAAACTGCACAAGTTCCTTTGAGTAGTTTCAAACAATCTTTCATAAGACTCACTTCGTTACTTTAATTCATAAATAAATAATTTTGATAAATTTTATGAGGAACAATTGATCAATCTAAGGCGCACATCTTATTTGCCTCAAAACATGCGTTCCGGTAATACCTCAAAATCAATTTTCCGCAGCATTGTATAACTTTTTCTGTACCTACTACGTATATATACGTACGTATACGAGAAAAGTAAAAATCTGTTTTCAATAATGGAGTTGGATGTCGACGAAAAATATGTTAAACATTTTAAAACGAGAAGTTTCAATGAAAATCGAATCAGCGCCATTTTTATAAACGTACTATCGGAGCAAAAAATTAAAGAACTGGAGGAAATAAGCGATATACCGAAACATTACTTATGGCTTAGTGATATGAAAAATGCATATTTTATATAATATTGTAATGAATATTACACGTGCTGATGAGAAATTCTTGTTTACATATTTTTACTCTTTATTATACGTAGGTATTGTGACAGTACGCACGGGGGATGCAATCGGATTTCGTCACGAATGTGAATATCCGTAACGTTATTATTTTTCTTATGCCGGGTCGTCGAGCCGCGCCGGACGGAAATCTGCGACGCTTCCGTTTGGGGATCGTAAAGCCCTCCCTATTTTTCGACAGGTTAACCTCCCCCCCCCTACACACACACTATTTCCTCTCTTGTCTCCTTTATCCTGGGGAGTACCTGTGGGTTATTTATGTGTACAAGGAAAAATATAAACACATAATGCATAGATGCACTGACAAAATAAATGGTATTACGAAACAAAAAACAAAAAACAAAAAAAAAAAAAACACGAGAAACAAAACACATTAATCGTGAAACACAAGATAAAAAACACGACACAAAGGAAATCAAAAGTAAATTATCATGTTCCCAAGTCACTTGCGGTTAGTGACCAACACGACTTTTACTGCGTCTGTTTTTGTGTAGACAAACGAATGCACCTTCCCCCCTTACCGCTTTCACTTTGTGATTTTAAGCGCCTGTGGTCCTATCTATTCCTCGGGTGCTAGTCCAATTACTTTAATCCAAAAATGGCTTCAGTAATTATTGTTTCCTTTAATTTCATTTTTAAATGTAGGCTATTTCTTCTTTAGGTACTTTAGGTGTTCATCATGTTCACATCAATATGCTGCAAACGTACATCAGAAGTAGGGACATGGGAAAGAGGGATGAGGAAGCGAGTAATTCAGTTGTTTTAAAAGTAAGAGGTAAGCTCTGACTCAAGAGTTAGGGCACCATGAATTGAATCTTTCAACAACTGATACAGCACTATAACAGAGATTCCGTAGGCGCTATGTTCTCACGCGATGAAATGAATGATGATGTATTGCATGCTGAACGACAAGACCGCATAATTTGTTGAGAGCAGGAAAAGACATAATGATGGTACCAGGATTACAGATGCAAATCTTGGGCTCCTACTGAATGTTAGGGCTGGGATGTTCATCAAGTCAAACACAGAATTCGATTTTTGTGCGTGAATTCTATACCTGATTGTTTCAAGTATTGATGGTGTTGTAGCCTATCTTTAGAACTTCTGACTCGGCTACTCTACTTTATTTGTTTATTAAAACGCGATTTTCTTTCTCAGCCTTTTTAAATAAAGTTTTGTATACCTTGATTAATATGTTGTCTCCAGTTACAACTTACCCTTAGGGAGGATAAGATGACGAAAATTACTCTTTTAAAATATTTTTTCATCCATTCATAGCGGAAGACCGATTTTATTTTTTTCTGTAATTAAGGAGTATTGGTAAACGTTCACATGTAAACTTCGTTTGTAACATGTAAACTTCAGGTTTGGAAACATCTCACGAACTCTAGAAAAAATATTTGAGGCTTAAGTTCATCTTACCCCCTTACCCTAATTGTAATAAGGGCACAACTTCCTTTTATGGGCTAAATATATAAATAAGCATATTGGTATTCGAATATGTTGTTGTACATATACGTGTGCGTTTGAGCGCATGGGTGGGAAATCACTCACAGGAAATAGGTGATAAGCAGAGTGATTTTATATTTATACGTTAGTTCTTCTCCTGATTCACTACTTACCGGCAATCTGTTCTTGTGGGAGATCTTCAGCCTGTAACAAGAAAGATGATAATTTGGTATAGTAATGAATGAAATTGCGATTACATCATTCCTGATATACATCAATGGTTTTATTATGCGTTCGAAACTTATATTCAACCTTATTATAATAGTTAAGATATATTGCATATTAGTACCGATGTTTGATTCAAATATCCAATAATAATGTGAACAAGCGAAAGGTAACATTCTAAAAAAAATATAGAACTAATTAAACACTATTGAATTTACCTTATTGCAGACTATGATTTATGATTTAAAGAAGCTTTAAAATTTCAATAAGGTTTCCAGTAAGAGCAATTCGTGACATCTTATATTACCTGTCACATGCAAGGAGAAACTTATTTCTCCTTTTTTAATTCAAGTACGTGCATGTTGTTTAAATTACCCACAGCAAAAAATGATTTGTCGTTACAACAATAATTTTCGTCATATTACTTATTTATATTACTTATGGCGTTTTTATATTTGAGTCACCAGATATATTTTGTGAGAAGTGAACGTTCAACAGGTACGATTTAGTGGCTTTAGGTTTACTGTCTCGATTATTTGAAAAATACACAATTCCTTAAAGATCCAAGCTTACGTGAAAATGTGAAGTTATTTAGCGTATTTTTGGCTGCATTATTCTTCGTTTCTCAGAAAACGTTATTTACATCTTAAGTCTGATATTTCTATAGAAAGAAATAGGAACGAACTTCGGAGCAACGCAACCAGCAGTCTCCGAGAACAGGAGGAAATAGCAACACAAACTGGTTTTAATTTACATCTTCTGCGTTAACGTTCAGCAGTGAGCTCCACATACGACAGCGCCCACTCTTTACAGCACAGGGAGAACGCGAGCGCAGTAGTGTTTTCGAGTTTAAATTTAAACTTCCAAAAGGATTTTATGGATCGGAGGCGTGCAGTTGTTTCCAGTGCTTGGCTAACTATAGCGTCGCACGCCTCCATCTCCCTCCGCCGTCCGCCGCCTCCGCTCTCCTGCCGTCCTGCGCTGCGCCTGCTAGCATTTCCAGCATTCACCGGAAGCGGAAGACGAAGTACCTCCCGGAGGGAGTTGAACCACAGAGGAAAGACGGGGACTCTGAGAGTTTGTTCAATAAATTAATTATTATATTTTATATTTTTATATTATGTAAATAAATGGAACTAATGGATATTAATATTTCAATAATTATATAATTGTAACATAATATGTTATATTATACATAACTATAAATCAATTAACTTTTTGCCAAATAAACTAAGAATATAAAACGATTTAAATTAATGGTAATAGTACAAAATTAAAACTCAACCACCGGAATTGGATTAACAAATGTTTCTTATGTTGCCTTGCTGACGTTTTGCTGTGCTCGACGATTTCTCTGGTTCTGTAACGTCCAGATAGTGGTGCTCAAGTGAGTCGAAGCTCTAAGGATAATTCTAAGTATTTCTGAAGAAAAATATAGTTTTTTTCGGCACAAACAAAGACAAATGAAAATTTGTGAATTGACAGAATTGGAATGCAAATTGTGGTAGTTTTGTATCGCATACGGTCCTGCGATTGCGCCTGATTTTATACCACCAGTATCTTAGCCTTACAGCAGACCGTCAGAATTGCGGCCCACAAATGTCGCTAATGACCTCTTGAGACTACAACAGCACTTCGTGTCTTCGAAATGCGCACCAATTTCCGATGACATATGAGCTGCAACGAAATTGGAAACTGTACAAAAAAACACATTGTACGGGAATCTATGCTTTTGGGGCCAACGCTAAAGAAAGTATAGACGGCTAATATTGTGTCGAGAAAAGCACTGATCTGTTTTGGACAATATACAATTGGACTTTCTGAATATCATTTTGAATTAATTGGTTAATATTTCCTAAATTCGAAATTTGAATATCTTTTCACAGAAAATTATAGTTTTCGAAAAACTTCATATGAAGCCATGTGAAGCACTTTCAGTCACAAATTCAATAGTGTTTACAAATTCCTGGAAATGTGCAAATTAACGGCGTGTGAAACACTTTAAAAATATTAATTTTTGTTATTTTTGAAAAAAAAATGAATACAGCAAAATTTATTCTATGTGCAATTGGCACTAACTGTTGAAAAAATTTGAAGAAATAATGTTGAGCCATTTATGAGAAAGTAACGTTTGAGCGTTTCTGAAAATGCGGAATTTTGAGCTAGTTTTTACACATAACTGTTGAGTTTCGAGAAACTGTATTGGACAAAATGTAAAGCCCATGTACTTATAAATATAATTAGAAGAAATCGCCGCGAATATAAATATTAAAGACATAAGAGACAAGTCTAAAAATTAAATTTTTGTAATTTTTGAAAAAAAATAAAGGACTAATAAATTAAAGAATAAAGGAAACCGAAAAATTAAGAAATTATCAAAAAAGGTACTTTGGGCGGCGATAGATGGCAGCTGACAAGAATATATGGCAAGTTCAAATGACTTCTCCAGACCAAAGAAACTAGAAAACTAATATGGGAAAGTCTGTGCTATTTGTAGCACCACTAGTTTACAAAGCTTTGAAAATGTTGAGGATTCTTGTAAAGTACCCTCAAAAATCAAAATATCTTCGTGAAACTCCTCGAGTTGGTTGCGATCGATAGCGGAAAATCAATGTTGCAGAGGTTATCTGAACGGTGTAGGCGTTGATCACAGACGGACTGATGGACAGACGTTTTGCCGTCAATATATTTCTCAATATCAAGGACATAAAAATGGATTCTGACTAGTCGATGTATTGGAGAAAGTAATTTACTATATACATGGACAAGATGTATTTTAATTTTTCGTTACCACAGCTCGGCAATAAGAGTTTTCGTGTCGAAAATTCGCGGTCTTCCGGCGCTCGGTTACAATACTTTCTCTTCTTACTTATGCAAGGGCGAGAAAGTAAAAACGCGTGAGTCTACAGAATAGCACAGACTTGTCGAACAATTTGGAGCCGTTTTTAAGAAGCGTTGCTGTAAATGCGAAATTTGAAACTCTTTTTCACAGAACATTTTTGAGTTTTCGAAAAACTTTATTGGAAGATATTTGAAGCATTTCCACTTTGCAAAATAAAATACAATAATGTATACAAATCGCTTGAAATGTGCATGTTAACGACAAATTGCGTAATTTTTAAAAATAAAAACACGAAAAAAGACAGCAAAATTACTTTATCACCTTAAACAGTGCATTTAGAACTATCCGCACAAAAAGGTAGAAGAAAGAATTTGGTTCCGTTTTTGAGCGTTGAGAATTTGAAGCTTTTGAGCGTTTATAAAAGCGCAGAATTTTGAATTAATTATCACAAAAATCTTTAGAGTTTCCTTGAAACTTTATAAGACATTATTTGAAGCGCGAGTAGTCATATAGGAAATAATTTATGCAAATCGCCGGTAATGTAAATATTAACGACACGACAGACAAGCCAAAAATACATTTTTGTAATTTTTGAAAAAATAAAAGAACAGAGCAAAATTGCATTTATATCAACCTATTATAGTGCATTTGGCACTATCCATACCAAATGTTTAAAGAAAAAAATTGGAATCGTTTTTGAGAAATGTTTGTTTTTCATAATTTTTAATAGTGACATGTTTCACTCAATATTGCCCAATGCTGCACACAATATATTTAAAAAAAATACTGACCGTTGATGAAAAAATCATGATCTATCCAAATCTAAAATGTCTGAACGTTTTATGATCATTTGGTGAATGACTGACTTTGAGAACAGTCAAGGCGAAGGTGAGGACGTATATTAGTATTTTTTGTCAAATAAATCATGTAATATGGGTATTAAACAACTATCTTTCTGTTACACGTTACATTATTTAACATTAAGCAACTGGCATTGCCCTTTTCAATCCTTCGAAAGTTAAGACCAAACTTCCTGATTCTCCATTACACCACAATGTTGAAAATTTTAGGACTGATTACACATTTGAAGCATAAAAGACTTGCTGACGTTATTGCGAAGGTAGTGAGAAAGAGAAGAGATTTGCCGTTGAACCAGGAAAAATTATCCGTTCTGCCAAAAGCAACGATATACCTGAAAAGGATGAAGAAATTTCGCGAAATGGAGAATTGCCATCAATTGACGAGCTCTCACAAAGCAGTGAGAAAGACACAAAAGTATAATTTTCAGCACCAAGTTCACAAGTGCTTAAGCAGGGAGTGTACGTCTTTGTTGAAGACGGTGTGATGTGCAGAATACTGAGTGGGAATATAGAATAAATAGTTTGAAGAGGGTGGAAATCACTTATCAGATATTCAAGCTGAGTGGAAAAGGATATTTGTGACGTTAATTTTGAGACCATTTTGTTACAGAGGAGAAAGAAAATGATGGATGCATGACATACAAATTTAATGGTTCTGTAGATGTGTAAAGGAATTCTAATTAAGAGAATACTTAAATTACAAAAATGTATCTCTTCTTGAAATATTCATTAAAATTATCATAAAATAAAAGTAATTTCTTGTTGCCTGTTATTTCAAACGTAGAAGTTCAGGCATCCCTACCAAAAGTCACCCCTTATATTTAAGACTAAATAAAATGAAAACTGTCCAATTTCAATGGGGGCTGTAATTTACACTATTATCACGTAAACACGCCTTTTAATGATCTTCAATTTAGGGTATCAAAGTCATCCCAAAACAAAGGCGACTTGAAGGCGTTTTTTTAAATGTTTTAAAGAAGTGAATCATCTTTATATATATATATATATATATATATATATAATTACATTAACACATGTAATTTTTTAACATCCACGCATTTGCTACAGGTGTAGATTTTTCAAAAACCAATGTAAAAGTTATCAAAGTCAGCCCATTCCACGATACCATTTTCAGAAATTACGCTGAATAAGCAGTTGCCGTAAAACATGGCAAAATATGCTAAATAAAATTCTTCAGGAGTGCTCTAAATGGCCTGATTAGAAAAGATGTGTGATCATTTTCCAAATAACAATTATTAGCAAAACATTTTTGTGATATGTGGAAAACTTCCTTGTTGCTTAATCCAAGAGGTTGACGCAAATAAAAGATAAAAGCGAATAGAAGCTTCTAGACAAGATTGTTTTGCGAAAGCTTTTCACTTGTCTGTTGTATTTCACCGCAATGTCACTGATCTTGATTTCTTTCATCGCTATGAACATCGACGCTACACCACGAACATCAACACTGCAGATACGTTGATCTCTGTAGGAAATGCCTTTAATTACGAACAACATGCATGGCTTCTCAACAGTTAGAAACATTGGACAAGAACAAGATTTACACAAGAGCATGCAATTCTATAATTTGTTAAATTATCAGCTCCCAAGTATTTAAAGTAGAAAATGCAATAAAGCAACAAAAATCCAATAAAACTCGTTATATCACAAATTATTCACTTCAGAAACTTTAAAATACAAAAGATGTCATACTTCTCATTGTACGAAAACAAAACAAAACTTCATTATTACAGCCGGCAAAATTACGCCTCTCGCCAGGCGTTCTAGTATGAATGATTAACTGCTCCCACTATTGTGACACATGTCAAACACATGCAACTGTTCCATATTTTAACGGAATGCATTAATTACGAGAAACAGAAATGTTCGGCCGGAAATATATTTCACGAATCTTTTGACATCTCATAATTATCGAATTATAGAATTTTACTTGGCTAGTGAACTTTTGAGGACTATAATAATACAAGTTTTTTTGTTTATAATTGCAATAAAATATTTAGGAAAAGAAAGTTACCATAGAAAGTCGTTTTGCTTTACAATACTATATCAGATTTAATATGAATTATTGTTTTTTACTTATTTCTACGAACTCAATTTTTTGTTTACAACAAATAGAATACATAAGCTGTCAATAGATGCCACTTACCATGTTGGTGGGTTGCTCTTTTCTATTCTTCTTCCTGTCAACTCCTGCTGAATGTTGCACTGGGACCACCCGCGGCCGCACCCCCTTCTTATGCTGGAGACCGAAGTGCAGCTGATTTCGAACCCTCTCTGGATCTGCGGCAAACGCCTATACGGAGATAGCTCCTTGCAACCTCGTCGGCATCGAGCACACCTCGCCCTATTGGTGGCTCCTTCGTCGCCAGGAAGCGTCATTGGCTGTTGAATTTTTCGAAAGTGTCGATCGCGCGCTACAATGCTCGCTGTTCATAGGAAGCGGCTGCGAAGAGCAGAACGCGCGTATTTTTAGTCGAAGCGGCGGGTGCGGCTTTGCGCTCTGGACTCCAAACGAGACGGTTTCGAGGAATCGCAGTAAATGAGAGTGAAAATGTTTTTTTTTAACGCTCGAGAAAGATTATGCTGCTCCAGAAAGATTATCACTCTGCTCCTCAAACTTGTTCCGGGACTGATTGGACGCAATCTAAGTGGAATGTTATTGACCTTGGAAAAATACCGGGACATTGACAAAACTAAAAAAAAAAAAAACCCTTTTTGTAAAATAAGCATATTTTAAGCCACTGCCTTCCCAATTGAAAGTGTCGTTTAGGCACAGCTAATAATCAATTAGATGTTTCTATTTCCGTTAGCTGCTGATGTATAGTGTATTCAATTGTAACAAATAATAAATAAACATGATAATTATAAATTAATGAATTGTATTGTAATACACTGTCATGTAATACCTTGTTTTATTTGCTAGGTTTACAAGGTACCTTCATGTCCAATTGGCATTGCCGTATATTACATTCCTATCTTGAACATTGATATCAAAGAGTAGAAACACTCTATTGGCATGGTAAAATATTATTTCACCTTTCTGATTTATTACCAATTGGTCATGGGATCGATGGGATTTTAGACCGGATCCTCTTCCTCTATACATAAACGGTATGCCATCGTATATAATAAACGGAAAAACTGTACTCTTTGCTGGTAATACGAATATTATTTGCAAACTAGTGGTGCCAAAACACGACTTACGTTCTCGCCCGTACTTTCACGTAAAATGGCGCGAAAAGTACTCTAATTTTCGAAAAGTTGTACATAACCTTATTTCAAAATCTATATTTGAGGAATAGATTTCATTCAGGGAATAATATATATTTTTATAATTGTAGTTGAAGGAACGACCAAAAATATTTGAATTTTTGCAATTTTCGAAAAAACAGTTTTCAACGAAAACGAGTCCTGCACCATTCTCTTAAATGTCATTTACAATATCCAACAACGAAATTTAATCGAAAACGACGGAAGGTAATGGCTCTGCTTCAGACTGTTCATTAGATTGCTCAGTTGGTCCTTCGGCATCTGAAATTTTTCAATTGAATAATACTTTTGAACCCAGACGAAAACCATGAACTTCAAAAGAGCTGCGAGAAAGAGATGCACAGTTAGCTGAAATGAAAAACAAACGCCAGCTAAAGAAACAAGTGGGATTGGTGCTGATATGATCCCTTGGCAAATTTGATTCCCTCACATTAATTTAGCCTTCTTCCTCAAGAGTGGTGTAGATATGAAGATTTGTTGGGCAAGAGTAGAAAACAGCGGCGCCCATCGTCTTCAGATGGCCCAGTTTCTCCTTCTCGCTCAGGTTTAGATGATGGAGTTAGAAGTTGGCACTCCCACTTTCTCGAAAATTCAAATAACATACACCAAAGTTTAGCTCAAGTTTTACCTCCCCTTGCGCAACCTTTAAAAAGTTTTGTCCAAGTCACACAACGCCGGAAATCGCAAATCAAATTTTGGACATTAAAGTGACTAAACTTACTGAGGCTCCCCCAAGTGACAATTTCGGAATTTCTTATATGCCACTTTTTATCCACAACTAACCGAAGTCATGCTAATTTTGGTCAAGTCACTTATTGCTGAAAATGTAAATGTACAATATTGAAATTACAATTTGTTATAAACATTTCCTTACAATTTTATGTTTCAATATTAATGCTCTGTAATGATCCTAAACTAAACGCAAAATAGAAAAAAATGCGAAAAATATTAAGAGAAATCATAATTTAAAAAAAGAACTATTAAATTCCTGTTTTATAGATATATGGGTGTTTGGTGCAAATTAGAAGATAAAAGGTTTATACTTTGGGAAACTGTAGCTATTGGACTACAATTTGTAATTAGCTCTTTATGTAATCTGTATAACAGAAGATATTAGAAAAACAAAGAAAAAAGTAATTATTCGTTTCTTTAATTTGTGTGAAGTACTCCGGAAAAATTGACATAAAGTCGTAAAAAACATTTTTTACAACACTTTAATTGCAATTTCCAACAAAAAATATCCATAGGGCACGTTTGGGGGCTCGAAGAAATCTGGAATTATAACCAAAGTTGGTAAACCGTTTGCCCAGGTTTGTCCACCAAACATGTTTGTGTGCCCACCAACGCGAAACGTTAGGGGCAAAAAAGTTTCGAGACAGCAGGCTGGCCGGAGAAATCAAGGTATTTTGACGAAACATGGAATAACGTTTTCCCATCCTTTGTCTCGGTTTACCCCCCAAAAATTTTCGTTTGGCCATCCTCACAAAAAACCTACTTTCAAAACATATTTTCGGGTGAAAACCACGCTGGATGGAAAATTCAGGTATTTTGATGAAAATTTGTAATTCGTTTACCCATCGTTTTCCTTCGCCCACAAATACAAACAAGTTAGACGCGAAAACAATTTTCGAGAAACCCCTAAATCGCCTAAAAAGTAGGTATTTCTACCAAATTTAGAACATAATTTGGTCGTCATTTGCTTAGATTAGCGCAACATAATCTTTTGTTTCCTCCGTAGAAAAAAAACCAATAAATGTTCGAGCCCACCTCACAAAGAGCGAAAAATCCATGTACGAGTGTATTAAAATACTCTGATATTTCGACTTCGATTTTTATGTAATAAATTAGAATACAAATTGCACACTCGAAAAAATTCACAATACGTCTACAAATGTAAAAACAATACCGTGATACTGGTAGAAGCCTTTATTCAGAGCGAGTTCATTGCATGGTAATGGATCTGCGCACGAATGATCGTTCCGCCTATTCATATTATTTTGAGTACGAACATTATAATGTAGGAACAGGTAGAATTAAACGATGAAATTGGGAAAATGTTTCAACTGTATTATCAATATAGATCCCTCTACATCCCATAAAAGTTGAATCATTTATTCATAGAGATATCTATTTATCGAGCATACATGTAGTATAAGTGAAAAAAAAATCTTGGCCTGACAGGATGCTGTGTGACTTAAGAGGATCTGCATTCCTACCATGAGAACAATGGTACAAATGTCGTGTTGGAGACAAAGGATGCTATCGGCAAAAATGTGCAGTGCCGATAAAGACCTACGCGACATTCGGGTAGAACAAAGGTGCTCTTCACTACGAATGTAGACCTAGAGGATTGATAGTGACTGTGAGAGCCCCAGGTAGGTCTTTTAGGCGCCAATAGATTGCAGGTATAACGAGGGTGGGGCGAAGATACAAAGCCAGCTACAATTTGAGACTTAAAATACTAACTTATACGAGAATTTTGTACCTTTTTATAGCACTACTAGTTTAGACTTGTTATATTTTGCTCAAATGCACGCATAAACTATACTATATTAAAATATTAAACAACACCGCTCATTCTTTTCGGTATTTGAACCCGGAAGATCTTAGAGCAACGTGGAATGTAAACAGAAGACCTTAGAAGTAAAATATATCTCAAATAAGATGTGAGGAGATGAAATAATGGTAATATTAACAAAATTAGTTAATTTTTATAAAAAAACAGTTCCAAATGGGAATCTATATTTTGAGTAATGCCTCAAACAAGTTTAAGATCATATGCACAAGAAGACGGAAATATGTGAAAAAGATAGTTATGTACTACTATTACAGACCATTTACCTCGGTCTGTAATAGTAGCATAGCATCTCTAGTTTGGTATCTGTGGAAAAATAAATTGAGATGCAAAGTGACGAAAGCCGAAACCGATTGTCTGGCTTGGGTATCCTACTAGTCCCGCCTCCTCCGCCGGGGCTGGCCGCCATAGAGGAGAGATACAATCTTCTATCTACAATTATTATATATCTACTCTATGCTGACCGCACGCCGCCTGGCCTGGTCGTGCCTCCGCGCCGACAGAGGGCCCACAACAATCGGGTGGGTGACGCAACGGCGCAGAAGGGTAAAGGGGGAGGGAGCGAGGTGTTTTCCTAAATTTCACTTTACGACGCTCCTATTCGTCCGATTTGAATGATTGTCACGGCGTTGGATTCAGGAAGCATGTCGGAATCGCGCTATAAGCCCATATTTTTTAATTTTTTTCGGATGTTTGAGAACTAATTTCAAATTCTAGTTTTTGTTAGATTTTTGGAAAAAGGGTTGCGTAGCGTAAATTCTATTTTAAAAAGGAGTCAAAGTTCGTTTACAGATTGAAAATAGGACCATTGATTCAGACGTTATCGGTAAAGTAAATTCCCCTGTGATAGTGCTGCGATCTATTGAATTTTCCTACAAGTATTTTTCGGTGCATTTAGCCTTAACAAGTATCTTCAGTAATATAGTTACAGGATTTAGTTGTATTTCCTACATTTAGGAAGTGAACAAGAAATGCAATTTTCGAAATTTAAAAGGTCTTACTAAAAATTAAACCTGTACTTGTTTTAAAAAGTAATTTGCTCTAATCCAGCAAAAAATAAAAAAAATGGAGACATATTTTGAGAAAACTTATAGAAATTAGTATATATTAGAATATAGCATTACTCGTCCGTGGAATTATTTCACTGCTTTGAAACTATATTTTGAAGAATCTATAAACAATTCCATTCATGTGGATTATAGTGAACACACAATTCACTCATTAACCCCCTAAGGTCTGTAAGTTTGGGTGTAAATCTTCCACAAATGTATCAGAAGTTATCGGATTAATTCGCACACTTTCGATGTGAAATGACGATTCGAACCTATTCAATTTAACAGATTATGTAGCGAATATCACCTAATAAAACCCACAGAACTGTAATGTATCAGACGCTGATCCACGGGGAGGGAAATGAGGGAAATTGCCCCCCTCTCCGAAAATTTTTC